ATAAAATGTTAACAATAAGTGACTAACAACAGGTGGCCATGTTTTTGTAATATTTTGCAGATTTTTGTAAATTTGGAATTATTTTCAAATAAAAAAACCTTTAAAAAAATCTATAGTTTCACTTAAAACGTGAAAGGAACTCTAGCTTACATAAGCGAGGCGTCTTGGACTTGCTGACGCACAGTGACAGCTCCTGGCCATCCTCACTTCCCCTGCACTCTTCTCAGAGCAGGCCAAGAGTTCGGCCAAGTGGGTCTAATTACTCACGGCCAGAGTTGCCAGGAACCTTTTGGTTCTACATCCTGTCACACTGGGTAAGTTTAGCTGAGGTTAGTTTCATGATGCATTATACATAAAAGTAATCTGAGCAGCATTTTTTCTTTTTTCTTTTTTTCATTTATTCAACAAATATGTTTAGTACATGCCAACTTCTGGGCCTACTCCTGGGGACGGCACTTTCTCCCTGTTGATAAAACCAAGACATTTTGGGATGATCCAAAAGTCCTCTGTATTTTTCACAAAAACATTCAATCTGCTACTAATCAGAAGCAACTTTCCCTCCCAAGGGCCTCCCAAATCTGCCCACTTCTCTCCATCCCCGTGTTGACTTCCCTCTCATCATCTCCCCTTAATCAGCCTGGTTCTCTGCCTCTGTTCAGTTTGGGTCAAGGACACGTACCTTGGCTCAGGTTCGATTCCTGGCCCTGGTTGGGGCATGTGTGGGAGGCAACCAACCAATGTGCCTCTTTCACATCGATGTTTCTTTATCTCTTTCTCTCCCCCTCCCTTCCACTCTCTCTGAAAATCAATGGAGAAAATATCCTTGGGTGAGGGTTAGGATTAACAATAACAAAAACAGTGGAACTAGACCATGTTACGGGCACAGGGTCACACTAGGAAGATCTTCTATCTGAAGGACATTGCTGTCTTTTGGGAACTGAATCTATGAATTTGGCCCTAACAGAACTGAACATGCTGAGTTTAGTCTCTCTGATGGAACCAGCCAACCAGAAAACCAGCAGAATAAGCATTTCAGCCATTTTTCAAGCTGACTATGATTACTGTTGCAGGTGATGGGTTTCAGGGGACTTTTCTATTTAATCCATGATTACAGCGAGGCCTCCATAATAATCAACTTAATTCTACCATTATGTAAATCACTGCCTCACAGAGAGAGAAAGGAGAGAAAGTGCCCTGGTGGAGAAAGGAGGCTCCGCAAAGCAAGAATGCTCAGGAAACGAATTGCTCGGGTTAAATTACTGTGCTGTTTAAGTTCTTTCATTTTCCTTTGATTCAAGCCTGAGTTATGTGACCTGCTTTACCACCGTCCTAAAGATCACTGACACCAGGCTTCACGACCCATTTCTTCTCACAGCTGCAGAAGGGACAGGCACTGAGTGTGTAAAAAACCAGGTCAGCCCAGCTGGTGTGGCTCAGCGGTGGAGCGTCAACCTAGAAACCAGGAGGTCACGGGTTTAATTTCTGGTCAGGGCACATGCCCAGGGTGCGGGCTCAATCAATCCCCAGTAGGGGGTGTGCAGGAGGCAGCCGATCCATGATGTTCCTCGCTCATCGATGTTTCTCTCTATTCTTTTCCCTTCCTCTCTCTCTAAAAATCAATAAAACATATTTTTAAAAAGCCAACAGGTCATACCATGGAGACTGCCAGTAGAAAAATAACATGATGATATCAACTTTGTTGTTGTTATTCTCTGCTAATCACGAAGAAATCTAAGAAGTGGAACGTTTAAATTAGCTGTGACTTTACCAGTTAGTTATCCCATGGCAGTAGAAGAATTTTAAGGCACTGTAATCTATCTACATATATAAAAGGCTAAGTGACTGACCAAACGTCCATCTGACCGTCTGACCGACCGGCCAGTACATATGACACTCACTGGCGATTTAAAAGTAAATGTTGACTTGAGCATGTGCGATAGATGTAAAGCTCTGAAGTACAGTGGGGCCTTGACTTACGAGTGTCCAGACTAACGAGTTTTTCGAGATACGAGCCGTCTCTCGGCCAATATTTTGCTTTGAATTGTGAGCTAAAATTCGGGTTAGGAGCCAGCTTCAGATATCCCACCGCTAGTTGGCGCAGCGAACGTCACAGTGAACACCACATCAGCCCAGCATCACGTGTCTCACTCATTCACTTTTTGATTTGACATACGAGTAATTTGAGTTACGAGCTCCATCACGGAATGAATTAAACTCATTAAGTCAAGGCCCCACTGTATTAACAGGATCTGCAGAAGGAGAGGTTGGTCTGATTCCAATAATTGATTTGTCCCCATCTGACAGTGGCCTCCCATTTAAATTAATTCAAAGACAGTTTCCCATGATGCCAGCATTTGCAATAACTATTAATAAATCACAAGGACAAATTCTAGACAGAGTAGGAATATTCATCCCTGACCCGTTTTCCGACATGGTCAGTTATATGTTGCTTTCTCTTGAGCTCGAAGAGTGTGTGCCATTAAAGTTAAAGTTGTAAATACTTCATCACAAGAGAAATTAGTCAAGCATGCTGAAAGTGTTTTCACTCTTAATGTGGTATACAGGGAGATATTAGAATAAGTTTAATCAATTTATCAGTCATTGTTTACATCACTGTTGTTTTTATATCATGTTTTTGTTGTTTTTATATCTTGCCTTTGTTGTTATATCATGTTATTATTGTTTATTTATTAATCAATTTATATATTATTTTCATATACATTTTACTACTTTTCTTTCAAGGGCGAATAGCGATATTAAAATATTTCTTCTAATTAATTTCCTTTCAATATGCATGAATCCGTGCACTGGGCCAGTAGTAATAGCATAAGAGTATTTCACCAAAGGACCTCACTCACAAAAAAAACTTAGATATAAAGAAAAAAATGACTTTGAATAATAGTAATGGTTCCATGTAAAGTCATCATTTATTATCATACTAGAGGCCCGATGCATGAAGATTCCTTCTCCTGGTTGCCAGCACCGGCTTCCCTCCGTCACCAGGGACCCAGGCCTTCACTCTGGCTGCCGCCTTCTGCCTTCGCTCTGGCTGGAGCTGCCTTCGCTCCAGCCCTGCTGCCCTCCTGTAGCTCCCTCCACCCCCCTCATAGCAGGCGTCCCATCCTGCCCCAGCTGCTCCATGCTTGTGTGCATGCTGCCCAGAGGCCTGGAGCAGCTGAGGCGGGGTGGAACGCCTGTGTTGTCGCCATGGTGATGACGCAAGCATCCTGACCCGGCTGCCTCCATCTTTGTTGCATCAATTTGCATATTCCCTCCTTATTGGCTGTGAGCGCCACCATCTTTGTTGTGAGTGATGGTTAATTTGCATATTCCATCTTTATTAGATAGGATTCCTATTAAAAATTTGAAACATTATTTTCAATGCATTGAACAGACAGTATGCCTTGCCTTGTCACATGAAACCAGTGACAAGATGGAAAAGTAGATAACTCTACTATCTAATTACTTATTGTACTTTTTGGATGATTTTAATTCAAACTTATATTAGCACATTTAAGATTGATATGTCTAATCAGGAGTTGAAAACTGGATTTCCTTCAAACTAGACTGTTAAAAGAACTACTCTGAGGTTTTTGGACTATCCTTTCTCCTCCCTCTCTTCCCCTCCCTCCCTTCCTTCTCCTCACCCAAAGATATTTTCCCATTGATTTTTAGAGAGAATAGAAGGGAGAGGGAGAGACAGAGAGAGAAACATCGATGTGAGAGAGGCACATCGACTGGTTGCCTCCCACACATGCCCTGACCAGGGCTGGGAGCCCACAACCAAGGTATGTGGCCTTGACCAGAATCGAATCTGGGACCTTTCAGTTCACAGGCCGATGCTCTATCCACTGAGCCAAACCGCCAGGGTTGGACTATTATTTCTTTAAAAATCTGGAATTTACCCCTCATTACAAGTTAAAACTCATTTCAAAATCCAACTTTAATTTCATCAATAAATGGCAGCATGTCATACATACAGTGAAAGGAAGGATCACTGTATTTTTTCTAAAAAAGGAACTGATTAGTAGTGTCGGGTTTTTAATCTGGTGGCACTTAATCTTAGTAGATCAGTTCATTGATTATTCAATGGATATTTACTGAGCACCTGCTACCTGTGAGGTATCACGTTCTAGCTCTAGTTACAGTCACACTTTTCCTGTGTCTCAACTTGCGAATGCATAAGCACAGATTTTATTACTTCCCTTTTTTACAACAAATATCTCAATAACTCAATGCCATTCACTTTGAACTTTGCATAAAGTCAGTATTAAAGAGAGAGATGGGTGGATTCTGCTACATCATATTCTCACTCATTTATCCCATAGCACTTCAGAGAACATTATTTTCACAGGTGGATTAAAAGCAAGTTTTAATATCCTTGCCTTCTTTTGCCCAGTTTCCTAAAAGCTACCTGTCCAAGCATGAAGGCAACCCCAGGTTCTGACAGATACTGTGCCCATTATCCACGCAATCCTTAGGACACAGCCAAGCTGTAGGGGGAGGACCAGCACTTTTGCACCCTCGCCTTACATTCTCCTTTGAAAACATCCAGAATTTCCCATGTGATTTATCTGCCACACCCAACTAAGGAAACAGCAGAAGTGTGACTCCCTACAGATGGTTTAATTTACTTTTGGACAAAATTAGGACACTTTTTAGCCTGTATGCAGGCTGCACCCTTCTGATTATACGAATCCTTCGCAGACAGTACCGAAGAGCAAATTACACTAATAAAGACAATCTCCTGCTATTCTCTTTTCTGCTCTAGGAAGGTTTATTTCCCTTTGCTAAAACTAAAGTGGCATTTCTCCGTTACCAACTCATTCGTTTCTACCCTGCCCCTCCTTGAGAAGTTGTGCACTAAGTCCAGTAACCAAGTTCCATGTGGTTGCAGCTGAAGAAAACACAGCAGCCATACTTCACCATGTCTTTGCAGTTATCAATGAGGAGACGAGACCCCCCTGCTCAGCTAAGCTACGTGCCAAACAAAAACTTACATCTTTTCCTAGTACTCTGAGTTCAAACTGCGTCTCCTTGAAGTGAACCTTTGTAATCCGAGGCCTGAAAAAAAAAAAAAGCAGATGGTGGTGGTGGTGCTATTTTTCAGAATTAACCTTTCAGAAATTCAGTGGAAAAAGATTGGTTCATACTGTTTCCCTTCTATACTACTGCAATCACTGTAGAGTTCCCTGTATACCCTCTGCTCTATACACCTCCCTAAACCAAATTCCATTCTCATTCTGTGCTTCTCCAGTAAATGCACGCACGCTTGGAATCCCCGGCCCCAACAGTGTTACTTTCCCAGACCCAGTGCAGAGCCAGAGAATTCTTGGTCCCTCTCACACCTTCTCGCTTAGTGAGAACTCATAGTGGTCCTGGGAACCCAGCCCAGCAGTGCACACTGGAACTTGTGGGGAATCCTACTACACAGCTTCCACCGACAAGAGTCCAGAATCACAGAGAAAACTTCTCTGAAATTTACAGAGAAAATATACGCTGATATGCATTGGGAGAAACTTTATGGCCAATTTCACTCATATTTATCAACTACTAGAAGTGTACCTGTTTTCTTTTCCCAACCCTTTCACTGACACACAAGTCCCATAAACCCAAAACATACAGTATATAACTTGAACACCAACACTGCCACAGTTTATACTTACCAGAAATACTTCCCCACTTGCTTTTTATTCTTGTAGACAACAACACCAACTGGAGTTAATCCTAAGAAATACTCAGATTTGTTTTCTCCCTGCAAAAACAAACACATGCCTATAACTATAAATATATTCATTTAAATGCACACGATCAAACTGTAACCGGCCAAATATAATTTGTCAGATTGATATTGGATCTAGTTTTTGAAAGTCGTCAGCTTAGAAAGCTAGCTAAGCTATGATGGTAGCTAACTTGCTGCTCATTGTTTTCAAAGTTTTAAAGAAATTTTTTCTAGTGCATTCATACTTGCAACCTCAGTTCATTAAAAGAGCCTGGACTACTAATCAGGCCTCTGATCGACCCACCCCATTGTTCAACCCTGGCTGCACATTAACTAGAATCACCCATGCAGCTTGAAATGCTGATGCCTGGGCATTACCAAAACCAGTTAAATCAGAATCTGCAAGGAAGGGGCCCAGGTATCAAAAACACAAAAATGCTCCAGGTGATCCTCCTGTGCAGCCAAGGACTAAGAGCCACTGGCTTCTACCAATGGTCCCTTACCCGGGACTCACTGATCTTACTTTCTGATGTGAACAATCATGAGACCTTGTTCACCATCACCCTCTCCAGAAAGTTCAGGCAGCCACCTGCAGGCATACAGCTGGATTTTCTGAGGTCACTACACGCTCCTTCCCACTGACACCTGTGACTTTAAGACTGCTCAAAATTTTAAAATACAGTCTCTTCTGATAAAGACTAGAGACCCTTAATTTCCAGGCAATAATAAATCTCAATTAAGAAAATGGGATTCTGAAATGAAAAAGTTGCAGAGTGGGTGCCAAGGACATATCTGTTTATGTTTATCTTATTTCTACTCTGAGGTTAAATAACAGATTGCAAAGTCATAGTCCCAAGGACATTAGTCAACTAATAAGTTTTGAAAGAATACCAACTGTTGCCCACTTTCAGTTTTAAAAATTCAATCTTAAAGGAATGCATGGAAGAGTCTAAATAGTCCAGTTTACTTACCATAAACTCCTACTGCCCACATTGTGACTTGGGATAAACATTACACAAACACACAAGTATTTTGCAGAAGACTCTCTTTTTATACATTTCCTATAAAATACGTTTTTTTAAAACTGAAAACCTAACAAGATTACTGTAGCTGGAAGGGGAAAAGATAACTAGCCCACTAAATTGTAGAAGCTTTCATGAAGGACAATTGTATGAAGTATTTAATGATGAATGAGACTGAAATTTAATATATCAAGGAACTACTACTTCCCCCCAAATATGTAACTTTTATTATCATAGTAATAGTATATATACCCAGGGACACACCTAACTCTTTACAAACTCTGAAAAGCAAAAAACATATTACAAAATAAATGCATGACTGAGTTTACATTACAGTAAATTTTATCAGGGTTCCTTAAAAATTGAGTTCCCTAATCCAACTGACAAACACTCTGCCTTTTATAATCTTTAGCAATTCATTTCCGGTAAAGGTACATGGCTCATTTTCTCAAATAACCAAATTTGACTATTGCTAATAAAACTCATAAAATGAAAGACCATCACATTTCAATCTCACTGGCATAGAATAACCAATTGATAACCTTAGAGAAGTGGTTCAAAGGTTAAGACCAGATCCGGAACATTCAACACAGATTCTGTGTAATTGCTCAGTGACTATATTCAGCAAGTTTTCATCAGTTACTAAAGAAAATCTGCAAATATATTTCTAATAATGCAGTGGCAAAAACTACAATAGATGTCCGATCAGTGTGGCTCAGTGGTAGAGCGTCAACCTATGAACCAGGTCACTGTTTGATTCCTGGTCAGGGCACATGCCCAGGTTGTGAGCTTGATACCCAATGGGGGACATGCAAGAGGCAACCAAGCAATGATTCTCTCTTATCATTGATGTTTCTATCTCTCCCTCTTCCTTCCTCTCTGAAATCATTAAAAATATATTTTTTAAAAACTATAATAGGCAGTAACTATAATATTGACAGAACCTACAGATAGATGCATAAAGAACCACAAATAGTTGTAGCTGTATTGTTGTCTAACGCCTACTTTAAGTAATTTTATTAATGTTTTTCAGCCGTAAAACCTATTTTTGGAAAACCCTCCTGTTTTCTGCCTAATACAATCAATTACAGACCAATTTTAAATTGTTTTGACGTTTAGCTAAGCCCCTTGGAACTGTTTTCCAGATTGTGTTTTCAAGCCCATTTAATTGTTTTCTACACATGGAAATATAATCACAGACTTCTATGCAAAACTCATTAGGGTTTAATCCACACAAGAGATTCTCTGTGTTTGCAAAACACAGATGAAAAAGCATCATCTGCTTTCTACACAACAGGATTGCAGCTTTCCTTTGGGAGTTTCAGTGGCACTTTAAGAAAAATGTCATCAGATTAAAATATTTTGTGTTAATTAAATGTTACTCACATAGACGGGATGGAGGTCAACGCCATACATCTCCAGGGATTTTGCAGTCCTCAAATAATTCAGCTCTGCTTCAGAAGGAGCCTGACCCCTGAACCCAGCACAAAAACAAAGAGCTTACTCTATGACAGCCACGACATAGGGAATGAAACCATCCTCGCCATGTTCCCTGGAAAAATAAGTAACCCTTTGTGCTAGTGCAAACCCAAGTCTTTGTACTTCAAGAAGCCCCTTGCCTTCTTGATGACGAAATTGTACACCCTTGAAACAAGGTGACACTTGTATCAAGTTCATTTCATTTATCAAGTCTATTTTTGCTCATTATAGCCAGTCCCAATGTCCTAGCATATATGAAAAATTCTCCATTTCAGAAACCCCGAGAGAGATTAGTAAGAATATAAGCACTCAAATTAAAAAAGTATACCCTGACAAAGAGTGCAAAGCCTCCATGCACCAGCAGCTCTTCACCAGGAGCAAGAGGGGTGAGAGCGGTGGTGGGTAGCAAGAAGAGAATGGGCTCCCCACCACCCAACTGGGGTCTCAGTGGCACCTCCTGAGCACAGCAGTCTGATATTTAGAAATTGTAAAAAATACTAGTCATTATCTTAATACAAAGGATAGACATATTCCCCAAATCTTTATTAGTGATAATATACAGAAAATAGCATTCATTCCTAATGAGGGTGAGAATTGGCCAAGAATCTCCATGGATGAATGGAAATGGTGTGTGTGTGTGTGTGTGTGTGTGTGTGTGTGTGTGTGTGTGTGAGAGAGAGATTTTTTTAATGGCTAACAAATGGAGCTGTAAATTTTTTAAAATTAAGAAATTCTTTCGATGCAGCTATGGTACCCTGGAAAATCCAGTCATAAACCATACTTTTCAAATCTATGAAGACTGCGACCACTCATTGAAAATTAGACACAACAAAGCTACCAAACTTTGATCAAGTTTTCTTCTCTTAGAAATAACAGTCACACTGTCAACATCATTGCATACAATATGTAAGGCCCTTCACTCAAAGCTCCTTGATAATTTCAAAATATAACTGTACTTTGAAACTCCTAGTAGAATTAGTATTCTCAGAATATGCCAAACACACTGCCCTTCACAATGTTGTTACAGGCACTGTCTTAGCACCCACTTCAGCAAAACCGTAAAGTGAAGGACTCTATAATCAGCTGGAGAGCATTCTGGTGCATGCTAATACAAGATGGAGAGCCTGGTTTCCCTGATTGCAATTCAGCAATTGACTTCTCTGCTACTCACTGAAACAGATCCTGTAGGCAAACGTTTTTTGTTGACCAGATTAATTCTGCATTTTCCCCCTTCACTATAATACATCTAAAAACAAGCAAATTCAAGAGGGAATGTTACATAAGAGGCAATAAAGCAAAGTTAATCAGTATAGAGGATTTAACCAAAATAACTATAATTAAATTATGACTTCAATGCTACAGGCCATTACTTGAAAATCCTACTAGGGGCTTGGGTATATTCTCAGAGGTGCATTGTAGTGTTAACATAATACTCTCCGAGGCTCCACACTGGTGTCATCATTATTTTCAGATTCATTGCTACAGACTGAATAGGACTTGCTTATAACTGTGAAGAATTTACATACTTATGACTTAGCAGATCCAGAATACCTTAAAGCTTTTGTGGTTATAAATTATATTTATAGTTTAAAAATAATTTCACAAGGTCCTAGTGACTGAAAAAGTAGAAGACTGCAAAAATACAGTATATACAGCATGACTCCATTTATGTAAAATCATACACAAATCTATACAGAATATATTTTCTCTATCGGAAATTATTCATAGAGGGAAGTCTGAAAGGCCATTAACAAAAAATATCTTGACTGTCCTTTAAACTTTATAAATTGTTTGGATTTTCTATGAGCTTCTTAGTGTTATAAGCAGTTAAAACTTGAAAAAGAAAAAGAATACTAGAATGTTCCAGGCAAAGGTGAATAATTTATCATTCTAGAAACTCATTGAGCCTGCCAATAGCAAAGGACGGTGGTTGATGTAATATAAAATGTTATTTCTCCAGCTTTATTGAGATATAATGAACTGATATTGTGTATGTTTTAGGTGTAGTGTGTGTTTGATACATTTAAAAAATATATATATTTTTTCATTTCAGACAGGAAGGGAGAGAGAGAAAAATAGAAACATCAATGATGAGAGAGAATCAAAGCTCTTGATAATTTCAAAATATAACTGTACTTTGAAACTCCTAGTAGAATTAGTATTCTCAGAATATGCCAAACACACTGCCCTTCACAATGTTGTTACAGGCACTGTCTTAGCACTGTCTTAGCACTGTCTTAGACAGTGATAACTGTCTCATGCATGCCCTACTGGGGATCAAGCCCTCAACTTGGGCATGTGCCCTGACCAGAAATTGAACAGTGACCTCCTGGTCCGTAGGTTGATGCTCAACCACTGAGCAACGCTGGCTGAGTTATTTAGTACAGTTTTATATTTCAAAATGATGGTCACCGTACTTAGCTAACATCTCCATCTTGTCACCATTTCTTTTTTGTGGTGAGACCTACATTTAAGATCTACTCTCTTTGCTACTTTCAAGTATATGAATAGAACCTGATGGCATTATGCTAAGTAAAATAAGTCAGAGAAAAACAGACACAGTATCTCTTGTATGCAAAATCCAAAAAAGCCAACCTAACAGAAACAGAGACTGGAATAGAGGCTCCCAGGGGCTGGCAATCAGGTTCAGGGACATGGGGGAGACGCTGGTCAAAGATGACGTCTGGGGGTCTAATGTACAGCCTGTTAATTATAGTTAATAACGTGATTCTTACATTAGAGTTTTATGAATTCTTTCTATGGCTTCTTCAAGTTCTTCCTTCTGATCAGGAACAAACCGGTATTCTGACACATATCCTGCAGTATGCTTATATGGGTCATAATCTCCAAGTTCAGCTAAAAAAGGAAAAAAACTATAATTTTTTTCATTTTAGGAAAATATTCTCCTCCAATATACAGGAATACAAATATTCCTATCATGCTTAAACATGTCCTTCAAATGCCTTATTAATAAATTCACATATATGTAAATAGTTTTAGTAAAAAATAACTCTGATGTGCATATATATGAATGGTATAAAAAAAACCTTATCTTAAAAACATAAGTTCTGTGTTTTTGCTTTCTGAAAGACCATAATTATTTTCATTCCAATTATTCTTATCATTTAAATGAAAAAAAAATTATAAACAATTTAGAGTACAGACATTGGAAATATTAGAATTGAATAACAGCCATGACCCCAATATATCCTCTCAGACAATGACACCAAGAAATGGAGCATGTGATTCAAAATGTATTTGCCACACATAATGGTCATGAAAATATAATACAATGCTGCACATAACCCCATTACAGTTTATACAAAGAAGCAAAATGAAACCAGAAAGCTCAGTATATTAGGCTTATAAAAAATTCTCTTCCTTACATTAATCCACCTTACAAACCCAACCAAGTTCATCTATGCAACATTATTCCTAGGATATTTTTTCTAGGCTGGGTCTAATCTGCAAAGGCCATTCAAAGGCAGGGAACATGCTGTTTCATTGCCCCCATCCTCAGCCTCAGTCTCAAAAATGACAATGCGGCCTGGAAATGCCCCCAGGGGAGCAAATATCAATGCCAAGAGCTGAAGTGCAGTGAGTGCCAAGTGTGTGCCACACTCTGCACTGGCGCTGGCACCTGACCGCATAGGGTCTTCACAACAGCTGCCTGGAAGCAGCGTGGTCTCTGAGACACAACAGCTTCAGGGAACAATGAGCTCAGGTGGAACGAGAGAACAGATTTCCAGACCCTCCACTTAATCAAGAATCAATGCTACGCCCGTGACTAAACCTGCATGGGACCCACCACAAGGAATGTATAACTGGCTTCATGTTGACCTCTTCCGAAGGGACCTGATTAAAACCTGATTCTGACTAAATTCAAGTTTTTTTTTCCAGTAAAACATCTTGATAAGAAACATTTTAGCATATAAGCTCCCTTAAAAAGAAAAATTCAAACATTGTTCTCAAAATCTCTGCAGCAAATGTACGTCGGTGGAACCTACACTGGACAGCATATGCTCCCAGCTGAGCAGCAGTGCCGGCAGGGCAGGGCAGCCGGCCCTGAAGGACATCTTGCTTCACTTGCAAGAAAAACTGGTATCTAAAAGAGAAATGGAAAACGAGATTAATGATATCTTACACTACCCAGACCTGAAGCTTCAGAGCCTGACTAATGAAAATAGAACGCTTCCTGGTTTTTTGTACGAAGGGGGCGGCTGTGTGAATAGACTTTAAGTACCCTCTGCAGGGGCAATGCAGGGTAGTGACTAAAAGGGGAAGGCTCTCCACTTAGCCTGGTTGGACTGCATCCCAGCCCCAGTGCTGCGCAGACGGTGGCGTGGTCGGCTGCCTGACCTCTCTAACAGCCATCTTTTCACCTGTAAAACTCAGACAGGGAAGTAGCTACACCTCACACGGCTGATGTGGAGGTTCTATGTAAGCTACTGTTACATTGTCATTACTGCCATTGCCACTGCTGACAACATGCTCATAATGGGAGGAACAAATCACAAGGACCCAGCCCTGATGACGTGTTATCTACAGGGTGTACAATCATTGATGAAGGACAAAAGGTCATGATAGTGTCATTCTATCAATCCTCCCACTTATTAAGATCCTGCCCATTATCTGCAGCTTTGCTCATTCCATTTGCCTAAAGAAAACCTGTTATCATAAGAGTGCCACCCACTGTTCTAAACACTGTAAATATAGTAACTCATTCCAAGTACTTTACATACAATAACTTATGTAAGACTTTAAAATGAAGTCAGGACTATTATCACCTTCATTTTGCAGATAAAGAAACTAACAGACACAAAGAGATGAAGTAACTTGTCCAAGATCTCACAAGAGCTAAATAGCAGAGCCATACCTGGATTCTAGGGCCCCTGACCCTAGATCTCTCTTAATGAGGGTGCTAGGCAACTCTGGCTAGCTTCCCACCCTCCACCTACCCGCCCTCCATTCAGGCTTTCTGCCAGTGGGTTGAGAGAGGCCAGAGGTTTATGAACCAATACAATGAATCAACACAAGCCCCAGCCACCATCTTTCTCTCTCCCTGTCTTTCTCTATCAGATACACACACACACACACACACACACACACACACACACACACACACACACACACACCCCCAGGCTGTCCTTTGTGATTTATCTTTCTTTGCAACATGTCATTGGGAAGGGGCAGAAAAAAAAGCAAAGAATGAATTCTAAAAATCAGTTGTGATAAATTTCTCTTTTCCAAATGCTTACAACTAAAGCCCTTAGTGAGGATAACCAAATGTTAGCTGCTACTCTTATCATTTCTAGAAGATTGATATCAACTTTGTGCCCACAGGCTGAAGTGAAAACCTGCTTAACAGCCTGTGCTTTTCCACTGCCAATAAATGGCACCACAGTTCTCCAGACACCCAAGTAAGAGAAACCTAGGAACAACGTGCAAGCCCTGGCACCCACATTCTATCTCTAAACCTGCTGTTTTGGGGCTCCATATACTTCTCTCCATCTCCTACTCCCAGTCACTGCCCACTGAACTTCTAAAACCTTCATGTTCTGTCATCATTCAAACTAATCTCCCTTCCAAACTACCTGCCCATGAGGTAAATAGGATCACGTCTCTCCCTTGTTAAACAAACAAACAAACAAAAAACAACCCTTAGGTCTTCAGGATTAAGTTCAAGATCCTTAAAATAGCTTGTAAGACCTCTGCCTACTTCCTGAGCCAGATCTCTTGCCATTAACCACTGGCTTCCCATCACCACCACTCCCCATCATTCACATTTTCCAGCCCCACTTAATTACTTTCCACTCCCTGAATGCTTGGCTACCAAATCCACTTTGTTATAGTCATCTGTGCTCCTCTCGAAGAGGAGTAAAGTGATATTAGCAGATATTAAATGCAAAGGCTTATAACAAAAGAGACACTGCACTAGAATTACTACTGCTTGCTAGAAACTTGCATTTAGCCACACTCTCTTTCTCTATTGTTAACTTGGAATTTATTTTCCTGAAGTGTATTTTTTTTTTTTTTTTTTTTTTTAGAAAATGGGTCACAGATGAATATTTGTCTTGCTGTATTAAGACGTTTATAACATCTGACTGAACAGTCAAATCCTTTGCCAAACACAGAAACTGAAAGATTTAATCCCATAAGAGTTTGCTTCAAAGAGAAAGGGAAAAGAGAAACAGAGGGAGGGGAACAACGAAGACAGAGCTGAAACAGAGAGAAAGACAGACACCAAGGACAGGAACCGTAACCCATTGTTAATTCTGCTCCCACTCTAGAGGGCTCCGCACACTCAGTAAAGACTGCTGTCCTGATGGGTGGCTATATGAATGAACAGACAGAAGGATGAAAATGGAAAAAACTGAACATTCTTTGCTGAGAAATTCATGAAGAAAGAGGCAAAAAAGGACATCTGTTCAAACTTCTCTAGATAACTTGCCTTTCAAAGATACTAGAAATCTTTAAGTCATTGCATAAAAAAATCCACTAAAATCAAGGAAGACAAGTAAACTATTTTTAATTAGGAACTTGATTAATCTTTATGATAGCAAGCATTATGTTAGTTTTATATAAGACAAATTTATGACACAGTAAATTCTATTTTTATATGCCAAACAAACACTATATCAGGTCCTATTCGTAATTAACTGTATATAAATAATTTTGTCCATTTTATGGGACTTAGAGTACAACCAAATATTTTACTTAAATTACAGGTTTAGAGTAGCTGGGCCCTTCCATCCATCATTCTTTCTTTTCTTTCTTTTTTTAAAACTGATTTTAGAGGAAAGGAGGGAGGGAAGGAGAGAGAAATTTTGACTTGTTCTACTTATTTATGCATTCATTGGTTGATTCTTGTATGTGCCCTGACCGGTATCAAACCCACGACCTTAGCATATAGGGATGATGCTCTAATCCACTGAGCTACCCAGCCAGGGTTCTTAATCATTCTGATTAAGGGTATGAACAGATGCTTGAGTCATTGTTTATCTCTGGTTTTAGGGTGAATCTATATTCTAGTTTACCTAGGACAGTTCTAGTTGTGCCTATTATACATGCCTAAGTATTAATAACTCTCCTAGTCATTCTGCAGTGTCAGGGTTTGAACAATAAATTATATTGTGACCCTAGTTATATTTTACCCCTATTGGAGGAAAAAAGATGCTGACTAAAAATGATCCACTTAATAAGGAAGCTTTCCAGAATACATTCTGATGCAAGGCAGAGCTTCAGAAAGCAACAACTGGTCACCTTTTTATGTAAATTACCACACTGGTGTGTATGCACTATCTCCCTAGCTAGATTGTGGGCTCTGGGGGAGAAGTGCTCCATCTTTCCTTACTGCAACACTACAACCAGTACAGCACAAGAGAAGGGCTGAAATACTGGCCTCACAGTTTTCCGTGGATCTGCTGTTCAATGAAGACAGCTGAATTGATACCAAGGATGTTCGAACCATGAACAATTTAGCACGTATCAGAGGCGAGAAAAATGGGCAAAGAAGGTTTGCTCAGAGAAGGGGCGGAGAGACCCTGATCTTTCAGGAGCCCAGACAGAAGGTTCTCCTGAAAGACAGCGAGGAATGCTCACACCAAAGAGCCTGAGGAGCACCTGACCGGAGGCCCTGGTGAGGAGTCTGAAAGACTGGGGACAAGCAGAAGTCTGATTTTGGGGTGCCAGCTGAACATGGCCCTGAAGGAGAGCTCCTATCCACACAGAAGCAGGATTGGCTTCTGCACCAGAGAGAGGGAACACAGCTCGGGACAGCAGCTGAGTCACTTTGGATCAACTTAAATGCGAGGGACAGAGGGAAATGTTTAAATAATAACATAATATTAAACACTGTGGAGGAAATAGAATGTACAGCTTAAGAAGAAAATTTGTAGAGGAAGCAACCACTAATTCTCAAGAGAAAGGGACAAAGAAGTTCTGGAATAACACTTTAGCCTCAGAGATTTAAAACTGATGATTAAAATACAGGAAAAGTAGCAATAGTATCACCTTACATTTGTATAGTCCATTAAAGTTCACAAAAATTTCTTTTGCATCCATACTGGAATTCGACCCTCCCTCCAACTCTGATGAACTAAGGGCCACTATCTTCACGCAGAGACGGGGACTCTGGAAGTGGACATGTAACTGAAGGTCACTCAGCTACCAAAGAAGCTGAAACAAGCTAACCTTCACAACGTGAAGAATATGGACTACCAAAGTAGCAATAATAACTGACAAGCTTAATGTCAATCCCCAGAAAATACTATAAAATATTATAAAACAGAGACCTGTTTTCAAAAGCTAAAAAGTGTTCATTATGAAGCAGTCATTTGGAACTAACATTATTTTCTTTTGTAGAAATAGTTGTTAGATCCTTAAAAGCTCAGGCAAATTTCAATGACATCATAGATAGCGTTGTCAGCAAAGCAATGCAGTCTGTCTGTCCTCTCTCCTCGTACTGAAACCCTATCTTTCTTTGGTCTCTACTGAATCTCGTTGGTACTCAGTGCACTGAAACACAATGCTCCATGTAGTTACTGAATGAAGGGCAGGTGAGTGAGCGAATTCTGTCTTTTCATACAAATTCAAGAAATGCAGGCTAGAGGCAATAGTAGGATGATTCATAGTTAAATGAACAACTATACCCAGGAAGTTCTGATTAGTGGATTGATTTTAACCTGAAAGACCTGTCTCAGAGCTCCAGTTGGTCTTTTCCTCCCTAGTTTTGTAATCAATAATTTGAAAACGTAAAATAATTATTACTGTTTCCATTTTAGCTAACTGTACCATCTACTTACATTTTTGCATTATAAGCACTTTGCACGTATTGTCATATATTCCTCCAACATCTTTTTGAAGAAACAGTTTAATTCCATTTTATGGATGAGAATACAGATTATAAAACGATTAGGTAATCTTCTCAAGATTACACAACTAGTGAGTTGCAGAGCAAGGATGCAAACCTCAGCCTGTCTGACTCCAAAGCCCATCTCCTTAACCCATACTGCATTATGTTCACCAAATGTGCAGCGGGCTCAGAGCTATGAATGACATGGAATACACAGAAGGCTGTCATAATATTTTGAATTGGAACTGAAGTTAAGTTTAACAGATGTCATGAGGACACGAATTACTTTAAGGACTGACAAGAGGGGAGAGATTATATTTATTCTGCATAGACATATTTTAGAGCACATAACAGGTACTCCAAGTTTATATGATTCTTTCACTTACATTTCTCATGGTCTGGAACCTTACTTTCCTGTGTATCCCATTCATATTTAGCCTTTTGTCCTCTAACTACAAGATCCTTCTGGAATACTACCTAGTATAATCATATATGTACATGAGAAGATTCAATACAGAACTATCTATAATTTTTTTTTTAAAGAGTTTTAAATCTTTTTTTTTTTTAAATATATTTTTATTGATTTTTTACAGAGAGGAAGGGAGAGAGATAGAGTCAGAAACATCGATGAGAGAGAAACATCGATCAGCCGCCTCCTGCACATCCCCCACCGGGGATGTGCCCGCAACCCAGGTACATGCCCTTGACCGGAATCGAACCTGGGACCTTTCAGTCCGCAGGCCGACGCTCTATCCACTGAGCCAAACCGGTTTCGGCGATATAATTTTTAAAAAGGAAACACACTGGAGAGCCCACCACAAGGCATGGCTAAATAAATTGTGTAATACTATGTAGGAGTAAAACGAATGGGTTCATTAGTGCAAGACATCTGCACAATACGTAGGAAACAATGATTACCAAAAAAATGTGGAAGAAGCAGTATGTATAAGCATGTTTACCACAGTATTATTTTTCATATAAAAAAATTATAAATAACTTAAGGGCCAATACAGAGAAGGCCAGAAGTTTTTTCAAAAGAAATGAAGCAAGATAAAGGTTCAATTTGAAGAGGATGGCCTAAGTAGACTCATCCTTTAATAATGTATACTGGAGAATTTTGGTTTTTTGTTTCAGTTTTTTCTTTTGCCAAAATTATCTCATACAATTGACTCCTTTTAAAAAGTCCATTTTGCCTACCAACTTAACATATTTATGCAAATCATTAACTTTATCTTCAGGACACACTAAGAATAAGTGCACAGTAATATCACATTAAATACACATTTAATTTACCTAAATTCAACTATATGTTTTTGGCAGTAAAAATAAATTATAAATTGTGGTCATTACATGTAAGTAAGCCAATTATATCATCTGGTTCTTAACTATATGATCTGGTCTAATAGTTAAAAACAGGTGGCACCAAATTATTTGTGGGTTTGTACATAACACAAACCTATGTATTCTGTTAATGAGCTGTTAGGAAATGTCTGGTCATCATTAATATCTGGTGAACAGATGGGATGTAATGCATTATAAGACACTGCCCCCCTCCAGCCCTGATCGTGCACCGGTGCGGTCCCTCAACCTGGCCTGCGCCTTCTCGCAATCTGGGACCCCTCGGGGGATGTCAGAGAGCTGGTTGAGCTGGTTTTGGCTGATCCTGCAGGCCAGGCGGAGGGATCCCACTGGTGCACGAATTCATGCACCAGGCCTCTAGTTCATATATAACTTTTGACTCCCTCAAAACTTAATTATTAATAGCCTACTGTTGCCTGGAAGCCTTACCAATAACTTAAACAGTCAAGATATATTCTGTAAGTTACATGTGTTATACTGTATTCTTACAATAAAGCAAGAGAAAAGAAAATATCATTAAGAAAATCACAAGGAAGAAAGAATACATTTACAGCACTTATTGAAAAAAGTCCATGAACAAGTGCACCCACTCATTTCAAACCGGTGTTGTTCAAGGGTCAACTGTATGAGAGTTTCACATACGCTATTTTATTGAAGCTTACAAAAACCTTATGAGACAGGTACATCTATAGTTCTACAAAGAAACAGGCACAGAGAGGTTACCGACAACCTCAAAATGAAGGACTTTCCTCGTATTTTCATAAAATGTTGTTTCCTTACAATTCCCTAATGAATTACAGAAATAAATGTGCCTTTATATCACCTGGACTCAGTTTCCCCATGAGCCCACAACTCAGAAATCCTTCTTGACTGCAAGAATATTCATAAAACTCTTATCAATACAATCCCACTCTTCAGCATTTCCCCAACACCCCAGACCTTCTCCCACAGAGGTGTGCTCACAGAGAGCTGAATGGACAGCCCTGCTTTCCAAATGCTCGCTAACAATGTGGTGATAGACAATGTGAACGCAGACATCAGCACAGTACTAAAGAAGAGGCCTAATTATAGCACTTCAGGGTATAACAGAAAATATCCAATTAAATCACTCTTTTGTGTGCAGTCTAGAATCAAGGCAAAACAAAGTGTAAGGGAAAGATGAAAAAATGTAATAGGAACAAAACCACAGACTAACTTAGTTTTCAAAGATATGATTTCAAATTTTTTGAATAACAAATTAGGCGCTACTTGTAAAGTTGGGGGAAATGATTTTGTTTTGCTACCATGTGCAATTTAGTCACAGGTGGAACAGTGAAAATATCACAGGACTGCCTGCTCTTTATAAACCACTTTCAAATACTGGATTGAGCTATCTTAACAACAGAATCAACACCTATTGAAAATTCTGCCTTAACTGAAATAAAACATTTTATGACAAAGGTGAAGTAATACATCATAAAACACTAAAAACATCTTTTTAATTTCCTACAGAGATATAAGTGAAACCCCCGGACAGCTAACATCTAAGCTATAACCAATTAAAAAGAAATAAATGGCTCTTCAAATTTATATTTACATAGACAAACTGAGCATTAAAATACCTTCCTTTACCCAGTTCAAACGGCTACTTTTATGACTTCAGAGGCTGACTGCATCCTTCACAAGAATGATACGGAAATATCCCATCGCAACAGATGCAAAATCCATCATTGTGTCACCCAGGTGCATACCACTGTTCATACACATCTATCATCAGACATTGATCTGCCTCACGCAATGCTGGTTTAAATTTAATTCTCGCAGGAGATGCATTACAAAATGCAGGTAGACATGCATCCAAATGGTTGACTCCATTTTTTAAATAAAACCTTTTGTATATGCCATACATGTACTGTTCAAAAGCTAAGTCAATACTGTACCTGGTTATTTCTTCTTTAAGCTTACATGGATCTTCAGCATAGAATTTAATACCAAAATACAAAGTATATGGAGGTCCAGCTAAAATAAGAAATAGAAATTAATTAGATTTAACATAATAATTAGGCAAAGTAGTAGTGTAATATTATACAACTATTAAAAATTATATTTCCAAAAATATTTACAAGCAATTTACTAAATAAAGGGTTAATATCCAAAATATGAGGAACTCATACAACTTAATAGCAAAAACAAAACAATAAATAAATGGGCAAAGCACCTAAATAGACATACAAATGGCTAACAGATACACAAAAAGGTGCTCAATATTGCTAATTACCAGGGAAATGCAAATCAAAACCACAATGAGGCATCCCCTTACACCTACAAGAATAGCTATTATATGGATGTAAGGGCGATCTGGCTGCGACATCTGTCACCCCATTGATCGCCAGGGTTGATTCAGCTGATCTGGCTGGCTAGGCGGGTGTCCCCCTCCTCCCTCACCGATCCATGTGCGTCCCTCCCGAAGCTGCGCGCTCGGTCGAAGAGGACAACCTTCCCCCCCGAGGAGAGGACCAGTCTTCGGTCAAGGGTATACGAGTAGCTGCGCTCCCCTGCTAGAACCTCCAAACAAGCTCTCAAGAATAGCTATTATCAAAAAGACAACTGTTGGTAGGAATGTAAAAAAATGTTAAAAAAAAAAAAAAGACAACAGTGTTGGTGAGAATGTAAATTGGAACAGCCATTATGGGAAATAGTATGGAAGTTCCTCAATAAATTAAAAATAGAGCTACCATGTGATCCAGCAATCCCACTACTGGGTATTTATCCAAAAGAAATGAAAGACAGATCTCAAAGAGATATCTACATTCCAATGTTCATTGCAACACTAGTCATAATAGCTAAGATATGTAAGCAATCGAAGTGTCCATCAATGAAACAATAGATAAATAAAATGTGGTACACCCACACCCACACACAATGGAATATTATTCAGCCATAAAAAAGAAGGAAGTACTCCAATTTGAGATAACATGAATGAAACTTGAGAATTATGTTAGGTGAAATAAGCCAGATACAACAAATACTACTTGATCTCACTTATATGTGGAATCTAAAATAGTCCCACACAATATAAAATAATATTGAATTTGAATTGTAACTAAAAACAAAATTTTTAAAAATTAAAAAATATATAAAATAAAAGTCACACGCATAGATGCAGAGGGTAGAATGGTGGCTGCCAGAGGCTGGGGGAGGGGGAATGAGACGAAGTTGGTCAAGAGTATGAAGTTTCAGTTATACTAGATGAATGAGTTCTGGGAATCTAACATACAATCTGGTGATGTTAGTTATTGACAGTGTGTTGTATTTTAGAAATATGCTAAGAGGATAAAAATTAAATTTTCTCACACATACTGGTAACTATAAAGATGTGATAAATAAGTTATTTAGCTTTTGATTATGATAATCTTTTCACAATGTATGCATATATCTAAACATTAAGTTGTATACCTTAATTATATACAATTTTTACATGTCACAGCTATATCAATAAAGTTATTTAAAAATTATACTCACTAAGAATTTCTAAAGACAAAAGGAAATATAAAATGAAGTAAGACTTCAACTATGCAGGTATCTGTGTATGTATGGTCTATCCCAGTGGTCGGCAAACTCATTAGTCAACAGAGCCAAATATCAACAGTACAACGATTGAAATTGTAAGATACGTAAAGAGTGCAAGGGAATGCTTTGATATCCGTATACATTGTGAAAGGGTTTCCTCCATCAGGTGAACTAACACATCCGTCCCCTCGCGTATTAACCATTTTTCCCAATGAGAACATTTATTCTACCCTTAGCAAAATTGATATGTTAGAAATATTTTACCATGTATACTCTTACCTTTTTAGAAAAAAAAAAATATCAGTGAAACTATGTGGATTAGGGTCAATACATGTCTCATTCTTAAACTTTTCTGAATCTAAGAATGTGTCCTTACATATTTAAAAAGGCATTTCTCATCTCAATCACGTACCAGATACAAGAACTATATGCACTAATACCAAATATATATGAAACAAAGCCTGGAAACATACCTACATGGGCCAACATAAAATAGTTAAACACTCATATTGTGGAAGAGGGCACACGCCCCTTGGATGCCAACCACAATATATTATGCTTTTCCTAGAAATATCTCCATTTCAGAGAGTATGAATCTAACCCGCACTCTCTGCAAGCTGCACACTTCACAGCAGTGTGTTAAACAGATCTTATATTAGAACTGTTTTAAACAGATTTGCTACCTGGTGCACTGATTGGTGATCAGAGTTTCTAATTTCTTCTTCAACAAAAGCTCTCCCACACAAATAAAAAAGGTATAAAGTATGCACTTCAGTAAAAATACTTCCACCTACTCCTATGACCCTCGGTCTTTGATAGTGTGCAGTAGACAGAAAGACTAGTAGACTAGTTTTTCTATTTTCATTGTGTCTTAGATTCAGAACTATAAGTCTTATGAGTAAATTAAGTCAAAAACTTTAGAAGTTGGGGAAAGGAAATTAAATGGAACATAGGTAATAAACCCATAATGCACTTTTAATATACAAACTACATCAGTATTTACTATTATTATGACCCACACACGCTATGCTTGTAGAACCCCATTGCCCTGTCCCTGGGACACAGAAGTCAACCGAGACTACAGCCCTGCTCCTCTCCCTCATCCGGGTAGGCACTCCTTATGCTAGAGCTTCTTTAAAAACTAAATTCTAAAAGAAACTTTGCTGTAATTTTTTACCACTAGAGCTGATCCATATGTTTGATTTCTACGTTAACCACTGTGCTTCTGAAAAGCACACCCTTCTCCCTGAATATAGACGTCAAGGAGGCACAGACTATTAAATATTAAATATTTAGAAGAGCCAGGAAGTCCACCCTCTGCTGATCCGTCTTTGTCAATCAAGCCCTATGTTACTGATCAGATGGGTCGGCCTGTGCCTGCAGGCCACTGGGGTTGGTATCTGGGGGCAGGAAGAGCACAGATGCTGCTGAGACTGTGCACAAAGGAAGAAGGCCTCGTCCGGAGTCCAGAGCTGCTTTTATCCTCTGGAACATGACAGATTACACCCTCTTGATCAACCAGCCACTTCAAACGTGTTTGGTGATGAGCAGTTATGCAGAAGTTTGAAAAATACACAATTGGAAACATTTGGTTTGAGCTAATTTTCTTAAAGGACTTATAGCTCACACATAAAATGGCGTGTGTTCTAAATATAAGGCATCATTACCATATGATTGCATTTGGCAAAGTACAAAAATGTTTCCTAAACATCTGATTCTCAACAGCCACCTGGTAATGTACGCAAGGCAGTTGAAGCTCCAAGGAGGTAAGTTCCTAAGATCACAGGGATCACAAACTAAGAATCAAGTTTGCTCCTGGAGTTCAGTGCTTTCTGGCCACTATTCCATACAGCCTCTCAGGGAAGAAATTATAACTATAGAATGAGCAAAATCTTTCATAAACATCACTGTTTTATAGATCAATCAAAGGCCATGGAAATGGACATTTTTGGAGCAAGGCTATGTCTAAGACTGACTATAAAACTAGGTGCTAATGAAGCAAATTCCCAAGTTATTATGATCTTGAATCCATGTCTCATTCTTAAACTTTAAGAAACCCTTTAAGAAGCCCTTATGCAAAGTAAATTAATACTGTTTCACTTTAGCAAAATATATAGAAGCCAGAAGCTGGGAATCCTCTAATCTACCTTTTAAAGACTAATTTCAAGACCTTTAATGGTAATAAAAAGTCCCCCAGCCCGACTGGAGTGACTAGTGGTTGAGCGTCGACCTATGAACCAAGAGGTCACAGTTCGATTCTGGGTCAGGGCACATGCCTGGGTTCCAGGCTTGATCCCCAGTGGGTGCATGCAGGAGGCAGCCAATCGATGATTCTCTCATCATTGATGTTTTTCTTTCCCTCTCCCTTCTTCTCTGTGAAATCAATAAAATATATATATATTTTTAAAGTCCCCCATTAACACAGAGATTAATAAATCAAGACTTGCCCATGAGAATCCTGGTGACTAGCAAGTATTCTGTCATTTTTGTCGCTATTCCTTCTGACTGATAGATATCACATCTACTGAAGATGTGAGAGTCATTCTCCTCCATTAATTATCAAACTATCTCATGAGATAAAAAATAAAGATTATGTATTCTTCAGTTAAATAATCTTTCTTCAATGGTAATATCAACGTTTTATTCTTTTTTAAAAATATTTTTATTGATTTCAGAGGGAGAGGGAGGGGGAGGGGGAGGGGGAGGGGGAGGGGGAGGGGGAGGGGGAGGGGGAGGGGGAGGGGGGGGGGGGGGGGGGGGGGGGGGGGGGGGGGGGGGGGGGGGGGGGGGGGGGGGGGGGGGGGGAGGGGGAGGGGGAGAGAAACATCAATGATGAGTGAGAATCATTGATCGGCTGCCTCCTGCACGCCCCCTATTGGGGATCGAGCCTGCAACCTGGGCATGTGCCCTTGACTGGAATCAAACCTGGGACCCTTCAGTCTGCAAGAGGACACTCTATCCACTGAACCAAACCGGCTAGGCTAGGGTAAGGGCACTTCTTAATTACAGACTTGGCAAAGTGAATGGTATGACAAAAACTACTCTAACTCAAGAAACGCAAGCTCTTTAAAAGGTCAGATATCCACCTTTTTCCAAATCAGAGCCTCTCTGCCTTTTCTATTTTAAGGTGAAAATTGAAAGACAAGCAACTAGAAAATTAACTAAAGTCATCAGCAGGAATACACCAAGCAAAATTCAATACTAAGATCCTCTCAGTCTTTATCAAATGGAATTTCATCAGAGTTTGCAGAGACCCAGCAATAATCACACACCCATTTCCAGATTCTGGCACCTAAGAACTCATACTCATCCCCGCAGTACTGGAGCCTATTCTGTACCCATCTAACCATGGGCATGATATCATTCTCAAGGCATCCCTTAAGAAGGTTAAAATTAAATACCTATTAAAAAAATAAATAAATTAAATACCTACTGTTGATCAGTTCTTTGTGTTCAGCAAGGGTTTTTGCAGGATCCAGCCAATACTGTGTGAGGAATAAAAGGGTAATTATAAGAATTAGTTGCTTTTCATTAGCCTTTACTTTAAAAACATTTGAAAAGTGTTATTTTAAATGACATTTAAATAATAAGGAAAGCATTTGATTTGTCATGTACACACACACAAACATACATAAGAGCTGTCTGTGGCTACAACATTAAAATAAAACGATGTCAACGTTCAGAGAGCAGCAGAGAGGAGAAACAGTACCTCTGGGTTCTTGGTTGCATTCTAGCGCTGACTGCAATATTAAGATTCTGGTGAGCCCTAACCGGTTTGGCTCAGTGGGTAGAGCGTTGGCCTGCGGACTCAAGGGTCCCAGGTTCGATTCCAGTCAAGGGCATATACCTTGGTTGCGGGCACATACCCAGTAGGGAGTGTGCAGGAGGCAGCTGAATCGATGTTTCTCATCGATGTTTCAAACTCTCTATCCCTCTCCCTTCCTCTCTGTAAAAAAAATCAATAAAATATATTTTTTTTTTAAAAAGATTTTGGTGAATGTGTCTTACTGCTTTGGGTGGCAAAACAATGGCCATAGGGAATGCCACCCAAGTCTCTTTTCCAAAATCTGCATCACAGCCCCATCTACAGTTAGGTATGTCTCCCTCTAAGACCATCCTCACCCTCTTCACTTCCAGTCCCATCTCTTACAGGTTTTGCTGCTAGATGGAAGAAAGAAAGCTAGCAAATAAAATCAAATCCTGCTGAAGTGTCCAGCAGAGGTGGCTCAGCACAGTGGCTGAGGGTCTGCGTCCCAGGGCCGACCCAGTTGGATTCTGCCCTGGCTCTCCCCTCATCATCACCGTGGCACTAGGAACAAGGCACTGGACCGTCTCCGAACCTTCCTCATAGGCTTGATGTGAGGATTAAATAAGTTAATTCATGGACAGTCTTCAGAATAGTCCCTGTTTCATACTAAGTTTGCAACACATGCTAGTGATGATGATGATGTGAAGGTGTGAGATCATTCTTAATTACTGCCTTTAACCAGCCTATGATACTTGCTTATTAATTCAAACTAATCTTTAATGAACAGAATCTTAGACAGTGATGGGAGAATTTTTGGCCTAGGCCTCACCCTTGTGAAATAAAATCACTGAAAGGAAAAGAACACACCATCTCTCCACCTGCGGGAAGAGCAAGCAGATGCACAGAGGAGGGGACATCTGGGTTCCCCTAGAAATACACACTGGGGGGACTCTCCTTGGTTATCCATGCCAAATACTGGAATCCCGAGAGCCTAGCTAACCAGTTTCCACTTTCTTATGCTTCTGAATGAATAAGGGTCAATTCTCACAGCAGGGAGGTAGGAGCCCGTCCACCCTGAGCCACTGCATTCACAGCACTCGTGTTCACCTGCTGAAAACATCCCCACTCCCCCGACACTCCTGGGTCAGGAATCAAGGGTCAAAAAGGAATCCAGAAGAACCCTCCTGCCCAGGTCCCCCTTCCCTGCCCTCTGCTTGCCCTGCTATATAACAGTAGCAGTAATTATAAATATGAATTATAACTTCTTGTGCAATCCCCGTACCTTTTATTCCTAATTTCATTTAATACAATAATAATTACTCATACTAAATGTGTGTCATAATCATTTTATTATAATATTTTATTACAGGACTAAACTGTATTCATATATATGTATAATCTCCACTATTTGCACTCACAGAGCAGTTTAAGTTTTTCAACTTTTTTAAAAGTAACATATTTATAGCAACTGATAATGCAATGTTTAATATTCTGCTTCTTATCATTTCTCAATTGCTGAAAGTCTAAAATCACTCACTTTTAAAATAAACTTTAAAAAGATATTTGAAGTAGAGGCTATATTTAATGAATGCTTTTGGAGCCCACAGTGACAAAAGATGTGGCCCTAGTGTTAAAATAATCATTCATATGGAAACACTGATTCATACAAGTAGAGAAAATCAACCCAAATGCTAAGCTGTGTGTTGGACACAGAGCAGACCCGTTCCTCTACTAAGTACCTAAAGCTATGAACACTTCTCATGAAATGGAAACAATAGGTTGGTTGACTATTTCTTGCCACTGATGTTAAATAAAAAGGTTTGGCTACCCCTGGATTTTTCAAAGGAGATGAAAACACACACAACTAACCACTTTTAAACACTTGCCTTCAGTACCATGAGAAATAAATTTCTGTTGTTGAAAAAAATAATAAACAATTGCATTAGACTTCTATTGCTGCCGTAGCAAAGTTTTACAAACGTAGAGGCTTACAGCAATACCCATTTATGAGCTCCAAGTTCTGAGATAAGGTGATTTCTCACAAGACCAAAATCAGGATGTCAGCTGGCTGGGGTCCCGGAGGGTTATTTGGTGAGGACACCCTATCCATAAGAGCACTTCAGGGAGGGGACTAGCAGTTGAGCCCTTGGCTCTCCATTTCCCTGCTAGTGTCAAGGATGCATAATGTTAAGCCTTTCCCCACACTTACACCTGAGGACTCGGTGAGCGCTTGGGGCTAGAAAGAGGTCCGACTACTCCGTCTGATCTCACCTTGAAACTGGTAAGAACAGAAATTGGACGAAAGCTTCTCATCTCCCCTTCTAACATCATCATCCCAAGAAAACACATTTTACAGATTTCGAAAACCAATTTTTTCTTTTTTGCCTCCAAAATGTTTTTCGGTCATTAAAAAGCCAGGTAAATAAAACAGAAAGGAAACTTAACTAATTGTAACAGGAAAGATTGTTTAACCTACTAAAAATGTTCATATTACTGATAAGCTATACACTTTAAAAATAAATCCCTTTCCTTGAGAGCAAACTGATTTGTGAGATGAAACGTATAATGAAGGTTCTGAGATGAGTTAGAAATTACAATTTTGAAGCAAAAAAAAAAAGGTCAAAACTCAGTAAAAGATGTTTGATCAGTTCACTGCTCATTAGATATGCTGAGCATCAACCCAGCGCTCATCCTGCACAAATCTCATTTGATCCCAATGAAAACCCAGGGTTACAGAGGTCAGACGATGATAAATGCTCCAGAACATAACTAATAAACATAAGCCACCAGGTTTCATAAGCTAACATCTTAACATGTAAAACCCACTTACGCTCAACCAAGAGAAAGAAATGACCTTGAAACCAAAGCAGCCATATTAGGACCACATTTGCCACTGCTCATTATCAACAAGCAATCAAACGTAGCACATCTGGTCACCGTGAAACACATCAGGCAGTTATTCTATAACCAATGAGAAAAAAGAGCACAAGAATTTGCCAATGAACATAGTATCCCAATTTTAACAACTACATCCAGAATATGCACCTACATCTAGAATGGATGTCAGCTCTCAAACTGTATATCATTCATTCATTTAACATTTCCGGAATACCCACTATTGTGCTCTCTGTATGTTATGTCAGACTTTGTCCTGGGTGGTGTGGGAAAATAAAGATGACTGAGACCTAGACCTAACCTTGAGGCACCCAAACCTAGAAGGAGTCAGAGACACAGAATTACAATCCAATGCTGTAGTGAGATAATAACATGTATGAGATGAGTGCTTAGGAGATAAAATTATGTACAAAGAAAATTACCTCTGCAGGGTGAGTGTAGGAAGGTGTCACTGAAGAGGGAACCTTTGAACAGTGTGTTTATAAATAAAAATTTTCCCAAAGTACAGAAATGGAGGAAACAAAGCCTTAAATTTTTATACAAGTTATGTCTACCAGCTCAACTGCACTTAAAGGAAATGGGTTCATGTCTAACTGACAACACAGAATGCAATACTGCAGGTCCTTAGTAGTTAAGCGCTATCCTGAAATCAGTGCTGCCAATGGCTAACAAATACTCAGCTAAGAAATCAGTGTTCATGCAGGACTTCCAGAAAGAGAAGTGGTCCAATTCGGTCCTTCTGTCTGTCCTGGGCAGTGGGAAAGGAAGTAGCAGAGAACTGAGCACAACTTACTGTGCACTAGGCTACAGAATGGCTTCTCTGAACTGCACTTTGGTATGAAGCCATTATACCCACAGAACCAGAAAATGGTCCTATCCTCTTTAACAGGATACTGAGATGCTTTTCAGGGACAACAGACCAAAACCACAAGTCATGAAGCTGACACATGCTCAGAGAACTGACCTCCAGCTGCGTCCAGAACCAGGATTGTGCCCTCCCTGCCACACAGAACCAAAGAACCAGGACATAATGGGAACTTGAGCACCAGAACCCTTTCAGAAGCAGAGGGTCCATGGTCCAACGTCCTCCAATGAAAACTTGCCCCACCAGCACTTCTGCACACCTGTTCCCCTAACTCCTTACAAACTCTCCTGGAACTCTGGATCAGGGAGTTCAGGTTTTTGTTTTTTTTTCCTTTTCTTTTTCATTTTTCTAAACCTGACCCTAAAGGAGTTCAGGCTTTTAAGCAGTGGATTCCCATTCTCCTGGATGGCACTATCTACTCTAATAAAAGAGATACATGCAAACTGGTGTCACTCTGCTACACCCACCAGCCAATCAGGATAAGTATGCAAATTAACCCAACAAAGATAGTTAATTTGCATATGCAGGTGCGGAGCAAAGACTGAAGGCTCCGCCCAAGCAAAGACTGAAGACGACTGAAGACTGAAGACTGAAGAGGCTTGGCTTCTCTGCTGTGGCCGGAGTGAAGGCCTGGGTCCTGGGTGCTGGAGGAAAACCAGTGCCAGCAGCCAGGGGAAGGAAGGCCTATTGCATGAATCTCTTTGTGCAATGGGCCTCTAGCTCATCAATAGAATAATCAATCTTTCTCCACTGCAATTCTCAGTGTTTTAGAGTTTGGCTCTACTAGCTCCAGGTGGGCAAATTCTTTCTGTTCTGTGACACAGTCTTGCCTACCCAGGCAGTCAGAAGGAAAGAGAGCCCTATCTCTCCTATTCTTTCTCAACATTCAATCTCTCAATCACTCTTCCCCTTCCCTTTCCTCCTTGCTCTCTCTACAATGTCAAATTTATATCCAGCTAGACTGGATCCTGTTTTGTAGGAAGATAACATAACAATGAACAGACACAGCCCTTCTCTCTCATCCTGATTTCTACAGTGGGTCTCCTAACACAGGAGAACGTTAACAGACCTCAATCCCGATACCCAATCACTGAAAAGTCCAGATGACAGCTTTCCTGGCTCAGATGCCTTGTGAGGGTACAAGAGGCCAACAAGTAGGTGGTCTTACCTCTTCAGTCATGTCAGTCTTAATGGCATTTATGTAATCTGGGGAGAATGACAGATGGGCACAAGTTCCTTCTTTTTCTCTGACAGTCTTGGCTAAACGCCCTGAGCGTGTTTCATTCACCGTGGCTAATAATGTCTCAATTTCATCAATATCCTAGGTAACAGGACAGAATTAGATCTTAAAACTCTAACAATGTCCAGTAAATCAATAACCTAACCTTCAAAAATTCAGGGGCCAACCTTTCATTTGACAACTGTTCTTTTGCTGTCTCCTAGAGTTCTAATAGTAGAATGAGCCCTAAAATGTTTTAGTAGAGCAAGGACAGCATGGGATAATAAAAGCTTTGCTGCATCTTTTTTTAAAAAAAAAATTTTTTTTATTGATTTCAGAGAGAAAGGGAGAGGGAGAGAGAGAAACATCAATGATGAGAGAGAATCATGTATTGGCTGCCTCCTACACGCCTCCCACTGGGGATCGAGCCCACAACCTGGGCATGTGCCCTAACCAGGAATTGAACTGTGACCTACTGGTTCATAGGTCGACGCTCAACCACTGAGCCACACTGGCCGGGCCTTTGCTGCATCTTATTTCACACAGGTTATAATGCTAATTTTCCTTTGGAGAATTTAAGAACACTACAATGATATTTCCTATTGATCAAAAAAAGGCTTTACATATACACCCAGCTTTTGTCACTATAACAAAACAAACCTTTGATCTAAGGGAGTATAAAGAGGGATGACCATCTATAAGGAACAGTGGAGCCATTCCTAGGGAGTTCTAGGACTCAACATAATTTGCACATATGTTCCAAGAAACCCAGGGCTGTGGTGACAGCTATTTGTGCTTTTCCCGGTGCCCCTGTAGACAGATCTCAGTCCCTCTAAGTATCACTAACAGGATGTGGTTTTAATTTGCTCCTTGGTATGAATCACAGAAGCTTTGGGATCTCAGGGAAAGTCACCATCATAGAGCCCTCACAGCAGGGATGAAAACAAGGACCTGTCATTGCACCATCTACAGTGAAGGGGGGTGGTGAATTGTAATCAGGCCTCCATTTCAACAAAACTGGATTCCACTGAATCACTGTAGGACCATCTGGCTCCTTATGAATTATCACTGGCCCCAGTTCTCACCCATGGACTCTGGCCCCACTTTAAGAGTTATAGGGATAATAATAACAATAGCTAACAGTTATTAGATGCTCATTTTATTTACTCCTTTAATTCTCTTAAAAAGTCTAATGGAGTGGGAACTACTATAATTACCATTTTACAAGGGAGAAAACGGAAACCCGAGGTATTGAAATACCTTGCAAGAAAGTACAGAACAGCAGATCCAAGGATGAGGAACCCCCTGCATGTTAATCTCAGGCCAAGCCACCCTCTAGAGTACTGTCTGAATAGGAATGCATAACCTCAGTTTCAAGATTCTTACATACAACCACCAGCTCCTCTTTTCTCAGCTCACTCCTTTCTCATATTCTGATTCCAGCAGGACATGAAATTCCAGGATCCTACTCTCTTTTCACAGTTTCTCCTTCCTGCTCCCTGCAAGCCCTCACTTCCTCTCTATTCATTATAGTCATTCACTGGCAGATTACCTTGCACAATCTCCCCTCTACAACCACTGGGAAAAACATACCAACTCTCTGCCCTCTCAGGCCAGCACCAGAGAAGCTGACAGGAACTGGAGACTCAAACTGCATAGCCATAGATGGGCTCCATTTAAATTCGTTATCAGTAACCCAAGGGGACCCAGAATCCCACTACACTTCATTCTTGCACTTGTCTGGGTGACTCCTTCCTGTTTCTCACCCTTAGCTGATGATCTTGATAATGTCTCTGAGAAAACTGAAGCCATCAGAAGAGAACATGCATGCCTTCTCACCAAATCTACCAACCTCTCTGTATCTGGGCTGAGGTCCTATCTTCTCTATTTCTATGGACAAACTGTCCATGCTCCACTTAAGCTCATCCCTTATCTATTCAGAAACAGCTCCAGTAAGTTCCTGCCCTCCTTCCAGCACCAAAGTTTTCCTCTCTGTAGAATCATTCCTAGGAGAATACAAGACTTTATTTCTCCCATTTAAAAAAAAAAATAAAAACACCTTTTAACCCCTATATCTTCTTATTTCACTTCTATACTCTGGGGTCTATAAAGCCATTGTTTCATACTATGTCTGCTCTCCTCCCTCTTAAATACTTTAGAACCCTCTCCAGTATCTTGCAGTGACGCCCACAGTGGCTAAATCTAATGACAGATGCAGAGTCTTCACCCACTTTCTTGAAACATTTGTCACCAGTTTCTAGAACAGTGATGGCGAACCTTTTGAGCTCGGCGTGTCAGCATTTTGAAAAACCCTAACTTAACTCTGGTGCCGTGTCACATATAGAAATTTTTTGATTTCTGCAACCAGAGTAAAACAAAGACTTATATCTTTGATATTTATTTTATATATTTAAATGCCATTTAACAAAGAAAAATCAACCAAAAAAATGAGTTCGCATGTCACCTCTGACACGTGTGTCATAGGTTCGCCATCACTGTTCTAGAAGATCTGGCTTCTACTTACACCTCACTGGCCACACCTTCACAATCTCTTTTGCTGGCTGCTCATTATCTCCCTAACCAGGATAGGCCAGATTACCCTAAACTCACACCTTACATTAAGGCTTGAAATGCCACTCATACAACTCCCAAATGCACAGCCAGATCAGAACAGTCCCCTGAATCCAACTGCCTACGTGACAGCTCCATTTAAGTGCCTATTAGAACTCAAACTTTGTACATTCAAAAGGGAAATGATGATTCTACTCCCTCCTAGAAAAACCTGTTCTCCTGCAGTCTTCCCCATCTCAGTAAATGGATAACACTCTTCCATTGGCGCCAGTCAAAACCTCTTTATCATCTATCTCTTCCATCCACCTGCAAGTCCTGCTGGTGCTATGCTAGAAATAGAAACAGAAATAGAAACAGAATTCTCACCACGTCCAGGTCCAAGAAGCCTTCACCGATCACCTGGATTGCTTTTTTTTTTTTTTTAAGTGAATCATCGTTTCAGAAAGCACGTCTGGCAGTTTGGGCCTACACTTTTGGCCCCCATAAGGCTGGGGACCAAGAACAGACTACTTCGAGCCACTGCCAGGCCGCGCACTGACAAGCAGAACTCGGGGTGTTAACAGTACAAAGAGTGACAAAACTGAAGTGATGGCTTTCTCTCACAAGCTTTGAAAAACAGCGGTCCAGGCTATAAAAGTCTAGAAGCATCGCTCACCTGGATTTCTTAAACAACTACTTTAATGGTATCCCCGCTTCTACCTTAGTAGTTTCAGGGATTCTTTAAAGCGTAGGTCAAATCAGTTTACTCTTCTGTTCAACATCTTCCAGTGGTTTCCCTCCTTACTAAAAGTAAAATCCCAAGTCCCTATGATGGTCTACAAGGTCCTACACAATCTGGCCCACTCCCTTCATTCTCCACTATGCATTTTAGGAAGGAGACAGCAGAGAGAACCTCGAGAAGACTGTTTTGGAAGCCTCAGGGCCCTCCAGGAGGCGGTGGGGAGGGCCTACTGGAAAGCAAAGAGAAACCTGTTAGGAGGAGGAAGAAAGAGAACCTTATGGGAAGGCAGATATTTAGCAATGCTGTTGCGTGAAGCAACATGGAAAATAAAAGAGGTACCTAATGAAGTGGATGATCCGGATAAGATTGCAGGTAGATTGTTGAAAGTGCAAACTGGCTTATTTGCTACCTATAATGAAATGCAAGAGGAGAGAGATAAGCTTTAAAAAAGAAGAAGAAGAAAAACTGCTAAATATAAATGCCAGGACTTACTGGGCTTGAAATAGAGGTTTCTCATCCCTAGACTTATCAGAAGGCAAATGGTGCTACCATTAAGAAGTGACTGATCCAGAGACGGAGGGGCATTGATTGGACTGTCGGGACTTGGAGGGAAGGTAGGGGAGGGTGGGGGTAAGGGGGAAAGATCAACCAAAGGACTTATATGCAAGCATATAGGCCTAATCAATGGACATGGACAACAATATTCTAAACAGCATCCAGTTGCAGGCAGCACAGTAAGAATTTCATATTTCTATAATTCCTTATAAGCCTACACATTTCCAAACTAACTTTGTAACATTTCAGTAAAGCTTTTTCCTTTTTTAAATATCAGAGAGGCTTTTCTCACCACTCAATGGAAGCAGCCTTCTAGTCTGGCACTTCAGCTTATATTATTTTCGAAGCACCAATCACTATCTGATGTCAGAACACATATTTATAGTCTGTCTTTCCCCTGGAATATAAACTCGAGACATGGACCTTATCTCTTGTTGACCACCCCACTCTAGTTCCTGAGATGCAATGGTCACCCAGTAAATATCGGATGCATGATTGAATAGAAATGAGAAATAGCATATGGTCTTCTCTCCTTACAGTCCCAGGCCAGGGGTGCTAATCAGGGTAAGGATATAACGCTAAAGAGTTTTAAACAAGAAATGTCCTCAGTAAACATCCTAGATAAAATCTCCTTCAACCAAAAAACTGATGAATATGTTATGTAGCAAGAAAAATTAAGCTTCCATATATCATCAGCTTTCAAAGGGCCTACTTTTGTTAACTCAAAGTTCACAGTCCAAAAGGTAAAGTGAGTAACTCCCACCTTCCACCCCTCCACCCTACCCCTAAAAGCACCTAACCAAATTTGAACAATTCCTGGAGCACCTCTCTGACTGGAACAGGTCATATAAAAATAGACAAACTAGTCACCTTAGCTTTTAGTGCTTGCAACATATTTTAAATTTTATAAAATTTAAGACTACTGGCACAACCCAATCAAATTCTTTTTATATTCATGGAGAAAATCCTCTTAAGATTCAGAACAATCCTATATAATAAAAGGATAATATGCAAATTGACCAAACAGCAGAACCACCGGTCGCTATGACACGTACTGACCACGGGGGCATACACTCAAGATAGGAGCTGTCCCCTGCTGGTCAGTGCGCTCTCACAAGGGGAGCGCTGCTCAGTCAGAAGCTGGCTCATGGCTGGCCAGCACAGCGACAGTGACGGATGCCTCTCCCACGTCCACTGCAGCACTAAGGATGTCAGGCTCACTCCCCGCAGGACACCCTCCCCCCACCCCCAAGGCTCCCAAGAGGGCGCAGGCCAGGCTGAGGGGACCCTCCCCCCCGCCCACCCCAGTGCACAATTTCATGCACCAGCCTCTAGTGTTAAATAAAGGTCAACTCAGAGGTTTGTATCAAACCTCTAGATTAAAATAAAAAAGACTAGTTTCCTATGATAATCAAGAAAATGTCCAGAATCATTAACCCTAAAACCACTACTTTCCTAGCCATTCCATCAATTGTCTGAAATGCCATTCTTCATATTTCTTTCTGATTTAACCTGGGAGGACAGTCTCATAAAATGTTCATAGTTAAGGGAACCAGCAATATTCCTGTCATACACTTACACAACTAAGGTGTGGGTCACAGAAATTACTGACAAGAAGAATGCCTAGCATACCTATGGCATATACAAATATATGTGGGCATGTATACATAGTGAGGTTTGTACCATTCCTGATAGTTTTGTTTTAAAGTATTTGCACCATTATCATTTTCAACTGTTTCTCCTTTTATTTTATTTTTGGTGAAAAAAAGCACTGGGTGCTGTTAATGAAAAAGAACGCTCTAGATCAGTGATGGCGATCCTATGACACGCGTATCAGAGGTGACACACGAACTCATTTTTTTGGTTGATTTTTCTTTGTTAAATGGCATTTAAATATATAAAATAAATATCAAAAATATACATCTTTGTTTTACTATGGTTGCAAAAATCAAAAAATTTCTATATGTGACACGGCACCAGAGTTAAGTTTCAAAATGCTGACACACTGAGCTCAAAAGGTTCGCCATCACTGCTCTAGATAGAACTCAGTCCCTTACTTCCCTAAACCTAGAAAATTTAAGAAAGCCACAGGATAAAATATTTTATTAAACATGACCCATGGAAGACACCTTAATGCCTACTGTGATCAGCCATCTGAGAAGGAAAAGGAAGGAAAAACAACAGCACATAAGTGAATTAAGTTCAAGATGAATCCCGGAGCCGACTCTAAACGAATCTAGGTCTTTCAAAAGCATTTTGAATCCATGTCAAAATCAACACATAGAACAACGAAACTGAAGAACAACCAAAGCACGCTCTGCTCCCCAGGTACCCCAGTGAGGGAAGCGTCCAACACGCCAAGCGGCTTTGTGGGTGGCAGATAGACACATCCCTCTCTGCACTTCCCAGGGTTCTTTCAAGCACATCAGCTGCTGAATTCTCATAATGTATCACATGACTGCACAGAAGAGCTCAGATCCACTTTAAACAGAAAGTTGTTCCCCCAAAAAACTTACTGCTTTATAAAAATACAGTTTATGATAAGCAAGTTTTTGTTTGTTTGTTTGTTTGTTTGTTTTAAGTGGTGGGATCCCCAGCCACAAAGCTCCCGATGACATTACCTGAACTAAATCCTCATATTCTTTCTTCTATCACATACTACACTACCTCAGCAGATTCAGAATATCATATTTCTGCCCAGCCAGTGTGGGTCACTGGTTGAGCATTGACCTATGAACCAGGAGGTCACAGTTCAATTACACATGCCCAGGTTGCAGGCTCAATCCCCAGTAGGGGACATGCAGGAGGCAGTCAATCAATGAGTCTCTCTCATCATTAATGTTTCTATCTCTCTCTCCCTCTCCCTTCCTTGCTAAAAATTAGTAAAAAACAAAACAAAACAAAAAAAACACACAAACAAAAATAAACTGTGTGTGTGTGTGTGTGTGTGTATATATATATCTTATCTAATAAAAGAGAAACATGCAAATTGACCATACCTCTACTATACTCACAAGCCACGCCAACCAGCCAATCAGAGCGACTATATGCAAATTAACACAACCAAGATGGCGGCCAGCAGCCACAGAGCTGGAGCAAGAAGGAGGCTTCGGTGCCCCGGCAATGGAGGAAGCCAAGCTTCCCACCTGACCTTGCCGGCTGGGGCCTCTGCTCGAGGCAACAAAGTTTCAATTATAGAAGATAAATAAATCCCAGATACCTGCTTCCAACCAGCCTCCACTGGGAGCTTGGGTGGCTGGGGGCCATGGCCAGCCTGCAAACAGCCATCAGCCCCTCACCCAGACTGACCAGGTACCCCAGTAGGACCCCCTACCCTGAAGGGGGTGTGGCCAGCCTGAAAACAGCCCTTAGCCCCTCACCCAGGCTGGCCAGGCACCCCAGTGGGGACCCCCACCCTGAAGGGGCTGTGGCCAGCCTGCAAACAGCCATCAGCTCCTCACCCAGACTGGCCAGGTACCCCAGCAGGACCCCCCACCCTGAAGGGGGTGTGGCCAGTCTGAAAATGGCCCTCAGCCCCTCACCCAGGCTGGCCAGGCACCCCAGAGGAACCCCCACCCTGATCCGGGACACCCTTCAGGGCAAACCAGCCGGCCCCCACCCATGCACCAGGCCTCTATCCTATATAATAAAAGAGTAATATGCAAATTGATCCTAACAGCAGAACTACTGGGAATGACTGGTCACTATGACACACACTTACCACCAGGGGGCAGACGCTCAATGCAGGAGCTGCCCCCTGGTGGTCAGCGCGCTCCCACAGGAGGAGCTCTGCTCAGCCACAAGTCAGGCTGCCAGCTGCCAGCACAGCAGTGGTGGTGGGAGCCTCTCCCACCTCCTCAGCAGCGCTAAGGATGCCCAACTACATCTTAGGCCTGCTCCCCGCTGGCAAGTCGACATCCCCCGAGGGCTCCTGGGCTGCCAGAGTGATGTCTGACTGCTAGCTTAGGCCCGATCCCCCGAGGGGTCCCAGATTGCAAGAGGGCACAGGCTGGGCTGAGGGACCCCCCCCCCCCCCGTGCAAAAATTTTTGTACATCAGGCCTCTAGAATATATATAATATTATATTTCTTTCTATAATTCCTTACAATCCCACACATTTCCAACTTAACTTTCTAATATCTCAGTAAAGCTTTTTTCTTTTTTAAAATATAGGTAAAATCTGGTTTAAATGAACTGGAAAGGCCTTTTATAAGAGAAATAAGGCAGCAAACTAAAAGACCACCAGGCAAGGACACAGCAGACAGACATGGAAAGGAGAGGGGAGGAGGGTGCTCTTGTCACAGTCTCACCTCCACCTGGCCTGGCCCACACTGTCTATAGGTAGGTTCTTTCCTTCACTAATATTATGGGTCCCTCAGTGGGCGGTAACAGAAGGTGGTAACAGAGTGATAACAGGACACAATCCCTCCCCTCAGCTTCCATGCATATTCTTTCCTAAAACTGACCTACCTGAGAATAGCACTGAGTTAAGATGCCAGTTCTCCTTTCCACTGCAGTCCCCGTCCACAATCCGCCTTCCCCAATTTAAAGGAGAAATGCACCCCTTACCCACTTTAATCTCTCTATGGTACATTAGCCCTAGGTGTAAAAATCCAGGGAGCAGAAACATAGGAACATTTTAAAATACCAATGTTAGCAAAGTTGCTTTAATAAAGACACCATAAATCATGTCTTTTCCTACTTAAACATATTTCTGGTATGGATTAGACAAGGGGATAGCAACATGGTGCTTTGGCCCATAGTTGAGTTGCTTTGAATTCAGATATATCATACAGTAGGCAGCAGCGGGAGTGATGATTTTCATGTCACGATCTTGTAACTTCCATCTTCCCG